AAGTAAGCAGAACAGAAATAACATTCTTCACAAGGTGACTACTTTGAAGCAGGGCCAAATAATTTTTTAGAGTTCATCTGACGGGCCAAAGATAATCTCAGACGAGTTGAAAGCAATCGTTATACATCTGTATAGAGGCCTACTTTTAAATTGCCTACACCCGCAGTCATGACCCAATTAGTTCGCGGGAAATTTCTGTGTGGACCTGTCATCAGTTAAACAGTCGTCAGTCAAAATACAAAAAGTTTTCCGCAAGTACACAGTACGCATGTGGACTAGAGAAATGTATTTGTATGAGCACTGTCTGTTGATACACCAACTTTGTATTACCCCTGTAACGAATCACAGTTAACAGAACAGAGTACAGAGAAGGAATTTGGCGGCACAAAAGTCGGGGTGATGCTAATACTGTATGCCTTGAAAAGAAGGCTATTGATGAAACACAGCGATCAGAACAGAGACAGAACTTGGCGGCATATAGAGACCTGTATAACTTGAATTATTTGCAGAACAATCGAAATGTATTTCTTTTATAAGCACTGTTCATTGGTTCACTACTATCATGTAAAATAAGTAGGCTTACGAATGTTATTAACGATACATTTTACAATGGGCTTCTCCTACCTGGGGTCATAAATCATCAGGACTCCGCAATCCTTAAACTTTCAACATGTCTATGATAAAGTTTTTATTTCCTCTGGGTTGCTATGTTAAATGTAGCAGAGTTAATAAGAATATCAATCTTGGGAGTTATTTTTGTTCTTTTTATAGTTATGTTTATATACAGGGTTTATATCTGAGTGGGGTCACCCCTAAATCATAAAGCTTGTGACTTGTTCGAAGCACACAGTGAAGAATAGGACAACGAAAAGTACCCAGTGCCCAGTGATCAATTTTTGTCGCTATTTATTCTATTTATGGCAGTAAATCATGTTGCTCATTTTCAAACCACCTGTGCATCATACCCAGGGATTGCATTTACTTCATTGAAAATGTATTCATCGAATTTGTATTATGTTTTAAATATTTTTTTTTCATTATTTTGTTTTTCATCACGGCCCGCGGGTCGCCTATTAATTACCAGGGATATATAACAATCTCTATTTATACACGGTTAAAACCCAAATTCAACATATAAAATACAATATCAAAAAGAATTATATAATGATTAATAATGATATTAATAACAATTATTAATAATATAAATTAACAATAATAATTAATATATACATAAAAAACATACAAAATTTTAAAACACTTATTACAGATAAAATACATATTCAATTATATGCTTAACATTAAAAGACGACATGATTCTCATAAACAACATTAAAATCAATCAGATCAATAATTCAAAATGATAATTTCAAATAGTAATTTAAAAAAGTTTCAACATTATAAATCATTGAAATTTTTTTAAAACACGCGGAGACATTTTGAATTGTTCAGTTTTTCATCAAAAGAATTCCACAGTGCAGCACCTCCGTAGCTAAAACTTTTTTTTTTTTTTGTTTAAATTTAGTTCTTGGAACCCCAATATCAATATTATTTTGTGACTTCATTGGTGATCCGCTAACGTTAGCGGATCACCTCTTGTTATTGTCAGGGATCATCTTTTTATTCTTTCTTTCTCCCCTTTTTTGTTCGCACGATATCTCAAAATTGCCATGAGTTACGCACACGGTCGCTACTTCGATCATTTTGCCTTCGCCTGGAATAGTCATGGTAAGGTTTTCAACGCGCTCAGTCATTTCTGACGTCATCTACGTGCAATTTTGCGTTTTTACATTATCGATCATATCAGCCTAACCAATTGACATTTCAAAA